AAGGTCTACAAAAGCTATAGGGCTGAAACTTTGGGAACTTAATCTACATGCACGTACGGGCCCCAATCCCCAAATTGGCGCCATTACCCGCGTGGTACCCGCGTACGGGCCCGTCAAAGTTTTTTTCGGATTAGTTCATAACTCGGGGATCTGAAAAGCTAGAAAGCTGAAATCTGAGGGGGATGTTCCCCGTCGAAGTGGGTATTAGTGAGCTCAAATCAACCTCCGGGTAAGCGTGGTGCCCGCGTACAGGCCGGCCAAAATTTTTTCGGACAAGTTGATAACTCGAGTACCTGAGAAGCTAAAGGACTGTAATTTTAAGAGGATATACCTCGTCCACCTGAGTTTCGTTCAGCTCAAACCTAACTCTCGGGTATGCGTGGTAAGCACGCACGTGCTCGTGAAAACTTTTTTCCAGTAAGTTGCTAACTAGGGAGGCTAGAAAGATGAAATTTTAGAGGGGTGTTTTCTGACAGTTCTGGTAGCCAGTCTTAATTTGTTTAGCTAGAAACATTTACCGAAAAAGCCGGTGCTGGTAGCGACAAAAACTGCAAGGAGCTACACATCTTCGCACGGGCAACCCGTGCGTTGACCAGTTATTTTATTATTTTGTTGAACCAAGAGAGCTTCACGCGGAAGGCAGAAAGATCTGGAGTCCAGTCCTAGGTGCGGTTCCATGCATTTTTTCTAGCCGCATAACTTATTGATTTCTCTCTGCAACTTCTCATGACTTAAGGTGGGAAGCTATAATGCCGTGGCGAATGCGAACATTCGGCTGGATCACGATGACAATGCGATGGCTGTGTTGGTGCTCAACAATCCCTTCTTCTTCGAAAATGCCTTCAAAAAATGGCTGTTGAAGCAGCGACGGCCACGGGAAAGTGCCATTGAATTCGGGAAAAGATTTGGGCCACATCCCATTCGAGATTTCTTCCTCAGCAAATTTGCCGACATTGAAAAGGTGAATCCAGCAGTTTAACATTCCTACTTTTCAAATACACTACCTAACAATAATTTTGTTTTGAGTAGAGATATTGTTTTCGGACGAAAAGGCCAAAAAGCTACTGTGACAAAATAAAAAAAAAATCTGTATGTTTTTTCTCAATCACTCCTTGTGGGTGATTAGCAGTATATCGCAAAACGCATAACTGCAGATGCATGACGCTATTTCAAATGGACAAAAGCCGCTGCTGCTGAATTTGATGGGAAAGTCTGACTAAAGTAGACAAGGACAATCCGATGGACGGCGCCACATTCAGAAAGCATTAAGCAACGAATTTAGGAAGAGGGTTGACTAAGTATTTTGACGGAGAGGTGCTAAATTTCTGTGATTTATACCGCCAGAGGGCTTTGCAAATGGTTTTCCATCTTCAGAGTTACTGTTTCTGCATTTCATCGTCACAGTGAAATCGTTTCCATAGAACAGGGAAAAGGATAACTGTTTTAGGTTTAGGTTCTGGCACCGATCAGTGTCCGATCGATCTGTGATTTTGAGCCCGTGATTCACCGGCCGCCGGTTGTTTCGCTGCCTCTTTGTGGTGAAGTTTCCGGTGCAGCATATTTTTACCAGCCAAATTCAGTTATCGATCCAAAAACAAATGAGCTGGTTAGTAATTGCTCTCTGTGATCGCTACGAATAATTTCTTAAAATTTTGGTCTTCCACAGCATTCATTTAATAAACTGCTAGGTTAGGCGCAATTACTCTGCTTTGGAAGCAGAATGTGCAGGCAGCCAGCCTGCCTTCGAAAGAGGCTTGCTTCATATA